GTATACAAGTAATGTAAATAATGGCATATGGAGGTATTAGTATACAAGTAATGTAAATAATGGCGTATGGAAGTATTAGTATACATATAACGTAAATAATGTCAACAGTTGATGTTTCACTATCAACAGTGTTGTTACACTATTAACAGTGTTGGTACACTATTAACAGTGTTGTTACACTAATAACAGTGTTGGTACACTATCAACAGCTGATGTTACACTATTAATAGTGTTGGTATACTATCAACAGTGTTGTTACACTATTAACAGTGCTGTTACACTAATAACAGTGTTGGTACACTATCAACAGCTGATGTTACACTATTAATAGTGTTGGTATACTATCAACAGCCGATGTTACACTATCAACAGTTAATGTTACACGATTAACAGCCGATGTTACACTATCAACAGCTGATGTTACACTATTAACAGTGATGGTACATTACCAACAGCTTATGTTACACTATCAATAGCTGATGTTACACTATCAATAGCTGATGTTACACTATCAATAGCTGATGTTACACTATCAATAGCTGATGTTACACTATTGACAGTGATGTTACACTATCAATAGCTTATGTTACACTATTAACAGTGATGGTACATTACCAACAGCTTATGTTACACTATCAATAGCTGATGTTACAAATACATTAGCTCCCGCAGAAAATATTTAAAAGAATACACTAGCTCTAGCAGTGGAATATGTAGCTAAACTCAGACTTCGAAGAGAACAGTTTAAGTAATCATAACCTCTTTTTTAACTTATATTATTATTCCAAAAATTATATTAACTCTGTTTCGTTGACCTCCTTTACAAGTGATGTAATTCGACAATTTTTAACTTGAATGTAGCACCAAATATTTACTTGGCTCAATCTGTAAACAAGTAATACGTTTTAAGAAGGCAGTTTTAGAATTACAAAAAAAATCTTATTTTTTATTAATAACGTTTCTTGTAAAATAATTAAAATGACTTATCCAAATATTTTACAGATGACATTAGGCACCTTAATGATCGCTAGTGAACAGGGTTGTATTTAATGTTTTATAAGTCATCCAGCAATATCTAAATTATTAAATTCAAGTAAGTTGTAACTTTATTTTAAATACAAGTTTCATCAGGGTTTATTCTCACCAGAGATGTTGCAGAGCTTTCTTCGCTGGCTCCGATACTATTTAGAGACTTGAATCCTGTCTTCTGAATAATCACATATTCCCACTTAACTCTCCACCAGTGACTCGCCAAGTCCGCTTCAAATTTAAATCGTCTTTGCAAGTTGAACGTGAAAAAATAATTTTTTAATTAGTGGTAATAAACTTATCAAATACTTCTTTAGTGAAATATATATGATTAGCGACTTTTACTTTGATTATACAGTCAGTATTTCCAACTATATACACATTGTGAAGACGAAAATACAAGAAATAATTTCAATTTATGTTCTCGAGAAACGTAACATCAGCTGTTGATAGTGTACCAACACTGTTAATAGTGTAACATCAGCTATTGATAGCTTTTCTGTACTTTCTGCAGGAGCTAGTGTATTCTTTTAAATATTTTCTGCAGGAGCTAATGTATTCTTTTATGTATTTTCTGCAGGAGCTAATGTATTCTTTTATGTATTTTTTTATCTTTTCAATATTATTTAGTTACATACTTTGCAACATGTTAGTTGATAAAACAGCTTTCCAAGCACAAATAATATGTTGGACAAACGCATAGATTTAATATACAATGTTAGAACTGGTACACAGTTATTATGTAAAACTCGCGACTAGTTCTGACACACCAGGTTTGCCATTACCGAAATAACCTCAACACAAGCGTATCATTTATAACATGAATCGTAAAGCGTTAGGGATGCTTTATATAAAAGAAAAGGTTTCTATATCGTATTGAGTCCTACCCCCAATTTCACTGCTTATAAGCTATTTCGGTGTTTTATATATTTCTCTAATACTATGTTGATAATAGCATTTTGGTTTAGCAATAATTTTAGTTTGCCGGATGATAATTCTATGGTTAGTTTCAAAACGAGGATGATAATTCATGCTGATTTTAGACGCAATCTTTCTCTTTCTGTTAACCTTCCTAACAAAATACTCGTGGTTTTTCATATGCTGATACGGGGTATCTAAACAAAACATGCGTCAAATATTTCGATACAAAGATTGATTTTGTTGAAAATTAATATTTATTTTCACTTGACAGGTTATATAATTATATTCATGTTTGGTTCCATACACTAAACACTTGAGGCCAACAGACGTTCCAGCCATATAGAAATATTAATATGTAAAGAACCGCAATGCCAACATAAAAGTAAATACTATATTTTTTTTTTCCAGGACCGGGAAGAGATCGCTTCGAATAACGTGGGTGATCGTGCCTTACAGAAACGTTGTGTTGGAATGTACAAGGTAATAACACTGAGTGCCTTGGTGGTCAGCGGTAAGTTTACGGAATTACAACAGAAAAATTCGGAGTTGGATATCCCGCGGTGGACAGAATGGAGATAGTCCGTTGTGAAGGTTTACACAAAGAAATCAACAACGATAATTATACTGTGCACTATAATTAATCTGAAAATATTTCAACTTTTAACTATTTGATTTCATTACATAACTGAGAGACTTGGAAAATAATCCGTCCTTTTGACACCAATTGGGTTTCGTTGTTGTTAAGTGGAAAGGGCTACTTGCACTTTGCCCACCGCTGATATTCAAACTCCAAATTTTAACGTCATAAGCCCTTAAACTTATCGCTGAACCATCTGGCGGTTTTTTGATAAAGTAAACGTTCTGTGTGTTGAAACTAACAAAAATTCTATAAAATCATGCGGAAAACTACGTATCTGTCTTCAGGAGAAGAAAAATATATATATAAAATGAAAAATTATTTTTTAAATCAATCGTATGTATATATATTTGAAATATATTTTAATTCGCTGCTTGCATGTATGATCTACGATAGAGTTGGAAATTAGTATACTTAAATATCTGGAATTTAAAACTGATTCAGTTTCGGTTAATGTTCCAGGGGATGCACGTGTCTATCACGTTTCTGGACGTCAAACGACTGATCGTAACTAGGAACCTTTTACTTGAGCTAAAACAGGTGAGTTTGAAATATCTTTGATATTCGAATGTATAAAAATTAATTTATCATTTTAACGGATAACTTGGTCTTTTGTGGAATATTTTTTTTTGCTTTTAAATTTGATAATTAAACTACGTGACATATATATATGTAAAATAGCTTGGAGTAAATATGTGGATCTAATAATGATGAGCAAGAGATTGTTAGACGTGTGAAACCGAATATTTGGAATGAATAATAATATCCTCCAAAATTTTACTACATACAAGTATTTTATAAGAGCCTCCCAGTGGCACAGCGATATGTCTGCAGACTTACAACGCTAGAAACCGGGTTTCGATACCCGTGGTGAGCAGAGCACAGATAGCCCTTGTGTAGCTTTGTGCATAATTAAAAACAAACAAACAAACAACAATATTTTATAAGGAGCGCCATCTATAGACAGAATGTGAAAATTGATGAATGAAATCTGGTTTAAGGAATTTAAAAGGATTCACTCTAGATAGTTCGTAGTATCAATTACTGCGACGAGCATCTGTGATTTTATGGCAGTATTAACCGTTTTACCGCTGTGCTACTGTAACATGTTATGGCAGCATTAAACGTTTTACCGCTGTGCTACTATAACATGTTATGGTAGTATTAAACGTTTTACCGCTGTGCTCCTGTAACATGTTATGGTGTGCTACTGTAACGTGGTAAAACGTTTAATACTGCCATAACATGTTACAGTAGCACAGTGGTAAAACGTTTAATACTGCGCCAGTACTACCTCAAAATCTGAAATCAGATTACAAAGGAACTCCAGCAAAATAATGTTTAATAGAATAAAAAACAACAACTAGAAAACAGCAATGGTTATTTTGGGGCAAATTCTAGTTGGAGAATATAATTTGTATTAAAAGCTTCATTAAGCATTACAATTATAGAGATAACTTCATGTGTGATTTCTAAGTTTAAAAATTATATATGCTCTTCAAATATATCATACAGACATATACCTTACAAAACCCTTTATCTGCCAGCAAAACATGGGCATATGAAGTTTACGACTGAAAGCCAAATAATACGTAATTCTGTTTCCTAGCAACACCGCTGATACATCTAGTGACTTTATAAAACGATCCATCAGCTCTATACCCAAAACAGTGGATTCAAACTACAATATTTTTAATATTATTCATTTCCAAAACCCAGAAAACAAACGTGTTTACTCGTCTCCCAAGCAACTAGCCCCTGGTGGGTTTTACACATTCTTTTTTTGCTTTCTGAAAAATTCGGTTTGGCTCTAAGTAAACTGTTTTACTCCAAGTAAATCGTTATACCTCTAACTAAACTATTTTACTCTAACTAAACTATTTTGCTCCAAGTAAATGGTTTTGCTCAAACTATACTGTTTGCTTCAAGTAAGTAGTTTTATTTAAATAAACTGTTTTACTCCAGGTAAATAGCGTGTCTCTAATTAAACGGTTTTGCTCCAAGTACATGGTATTGCTCTAACTAAACTGTTTTGCTCTAAGGAAATAGTTTTGCTCGAAGTAAATAGTTTTCACTAACTAATCTGTTTCCTCCAAATAATTGTTTTTGCTGTAACTTAACTATTTTGCTCCAAGTAAGTGGTTTTGCTCTGACTAAACTGTTTTGACTCAAGTACATGGTATTCCTTTAACTAAACTGTTTTGCTCAAAGTAAATAGTTTTCTCTAAGTAAACTGTTTTACTCCAAGAAAATAGTTTTGCTCTGACTAAACTTTTTTGATACAAGTTAGTGGATTTGCTCTAACTAAACTGTTTTGCTCCAAGTACATGGTATTGCTCTAACTAAACTGTTTTGCTCCAAGTACATGGTATTGCTCTAACTAAACTGTTTTGCTCTAAGGAAATAGTTTTGCTCGAAGTAAATAGTTTTCACTAACTAATCTGTTTTACTCCAAGTAAGTAGTTTTCTCAAAGTAAATGGTTTTGCTCTAACTAAACTTTTTAGCTCCAAGTAAATAGTTTTCTTTAAGTAAACGGTTTTACTCCAAATAAATAGTTTTGCTCTAACTAAACGGTTTTACTCTGACTAAACTTTTTTGATACAAGTAAATAGTTTTTCTAACTAATCTGTTTTGCTCCAAGTAAATAGTTTTTTTAAGTAAACAGTTTTACTCCAAATAAATAGTTTTGCTCTAACTAAACGGTTTTACTCTGACTAAACTTTTTGATACAAGTAAATAGTTTTTCTAACTAATCTGTTTTGTTCCAAGTAAATAGTTTTCTTTAAGTAAACAGTTTTACTCCAAATAAATAGTTTTGCTCTAACTAAACGGTTTTACTCTGACTAAACTTTTTTGATACAAGTTAGTGGATTTGCTCTAACTAAACTGTTTTGCTCCAAGTACATGGTATTGCTCTAACTAAACTGTTTTGCTCTAACTAAACTGTTTTGTTCTAACTAAACTGTTTTGCTCTAACTAAACTGTTTTGTTCTAACTAAACTGTTTTGCTCCAAGTACATGGTTTTGCTCTAACTAACGTGTTTTGTTCTAACTAAACTGTTTTGCTCCAAGTACATGGTTTTGCTCTAACTAAACTGTTTTGCTCTAACTAAACTGTTTTGTTCTAACTAAACTGTTTTGCTCCAAGTACATAGTTTTGCTCCAAGTAAATAGTTTTCTATAAGTAAACGGTTTTACTCCAAATAAATAGTTTTGCTCTAACTAAACGGTTTTGCTCCAAGTAAATAGTTTTGTTCTAACTAAACGGTTTTGCACCAAGTAAATAGTTTTGCTCTGACTAAACTGTTTTGACTCAAGTACATGGTATTCCTTTAACTAAACTGTTTTGCTCCAAGTACATAGTTTTGCTCCAAGTAAATAGTTTTGTTCTAAC